ATGGGAAGTATTGGTTGATATCTTCTATATATGTTTATTTTATTCAAATATATGGGCATAAATGATTTTCCATACAAAATCACCTCGTCATCATTTTGCAAACACGTGCATATGTTGGAAGTGTGGGAAGGAGACAAAAAGTATGTATGCGTATGTAATGCGGCTTTTGATAAACAGAGGCGCGCTATTTATAACCTAATCGCAGCGTGTGTACATATGTAAATACATACATACGTACATATGTTGATTGCAGTTAATGTGGATCTGTTTCTATTTTTAGTAATCTATGTATGTCTATACATACATATGTACATACATATTATATATGTACATACATATATGAACACATGTATGCATAATACGCGAAGACTTTTCGAAGTGAAACAACATTTAGAAAAAGTCCAATCCAAGAATAAAAGTAAAGGTGAGGACGTACATAGATAAAGAAAAGGATAAAGGCCAAGGTAAAAATAAACACAAAAACAAAGTTGAGTAAAGATAAAGGCAAACATTAAGACCAAGGTAAATTTAAACACTTTACTTATATGTATAAGTGCAAAGGTGAAGGGGAATATGTATATGAAGAATATGATAAACATAAAAATAAAAACAAAGATAAATATAAAGAAAAAGATGCGGATGAGGATACCGATAAAAGTATAGATGAAGATAGAGGAAGAAAGATTAAAATAAAGGTAGTTGTAGAGAAAAGGATATAGATAAAGGCACAGAGACTCAATCTCGGAACTATTTCGGGAGTTTAGGGATTCTCGGGACTTATCGATATAATCGATATTTTGTTGCTTTTTCTTAGTGTGTGATTTCGTTTTTGACTTGGATATGCTCTTAACCATACCACGTATTCTACGTTTAAATATAGCGGCTGTATCTCCGATACAGCCTGCAGACCAAGACGAAGGCGCTGGACTGTTCCTTTTTGTTTGAATTCAAGGCCATACGCCAGGTGAAATTAAAATCAGCGTTTATTCTTTTAACATTGGCTATCTCTTAAAAATGTCTCGCTCTAATTGCTACACCTGGTATAATTTCACTATGGGCCATACGTATTTTTATTGACATATAATAGAAAATAATAGAAACATGTATTTACAGTTGGCAAAAGTTAATGGTAATAGCTCGACGCTATTAAGCTGGCATTTCAGGGTACTATTTTATATATATATAAGGAAAATTTGAAAGTGCCCTCCCCCTACCTGGCTACGCTCATGACCTCTCGTACTGCGGGCATTCCGCTATCTTCCTGCAAACTCTGGCTGTAGAATAACTTTATCAAAGGTGCAAATACAAGATGGTCTACCGAGCTCACGTTCAGGATAGCAAGACATATTTGGCCTAGGTTGCCGCGTGGAGCGGCCACTTCTCCGATATGTTATTGGAGTTCTCACCGAGCACTGCCTGATGGGTGTCCACGTTGCCAGAATGGGCTTGCAGTCAAACGACTACTGTCGTAGCTGCCATGATGAGAAGGAAATAGAAAGCGTGGAGCATTATCTATGCGACTGTCGTGCTTTGGTGAGGGCTCGTCGATGCTCGATCCCCCACTATTCTTTTGAATGTCTGACTTCAACTGGCTTAGGCCAATATCTACTACTTTGTGCGCTTCATCAAAGCTACAAATTGGTTCAATTGTTGAGGAAAAGCAGGGACGTGAGAAGTCTCTAGTATGGCATCACAATGGGCCCGTGGTGGCCTAAGTGAGCCCTTTTCCTGTGAGGGTTGAGGGCAGACAAGATAACCTAACCTAACCTTTCGCTTAAAGTGCATTTGTGCTACATGTAATTATATGTTCTATAACGGCATTATTTTAATTGTGGCTAGATGGGTTCGACTAGAAGATGTACAAATAAAAGCTGTATTTGGTTTTCAGTTTGGATTTATAAAGCATTTAATTCAGTTTTCGGCAGCTTAGCTGATGTGTTCATATTTCGTGTTTTTTTTTTAATTATTACTTTATGCATTGTAATTTATATTAACATGTACATACATACATACATACATACATAATTAATTTGCTTCCATGATTTTTTGTTACAGGGATACTGCCCCGCAACCCTACCGCAATGTTATGTACGATCGCCGTGTAATACGTGGACCTGTATTTGGTACTCAACAACTTTTGGTAAATATGTTTACATTCTCTTATTAGCCCTCAAAATACCTTAGATAAAAATTACGTTCAGACCCTTATGGGTAGAATTCTACCCACGTACTTTTTATTAATTTATTTATCCAAAGGTTTCTGACTTGCTTAAAATCAATTAAAGTGGAACACAACTAAATACCATATAGATATATGTACTTTATTTTATGTCATCCAGTTTTCCTGAAATATGTACTGCAGTAATGTTATTTGTTCCAATTCCTGTGCCTACAGCTACATAGTGCTGAAACTAAAATTAATAAAAACCTATTTGAGAAACTCTATGGGACAAGACAGACTACGTAACTTGGCTATTCTATGGCTCTATTTTTAAACGCAACCATTACCGCCTGCCAGATGGCCCCCATGCTAACCGAGGGAGTGAGAGAGAGAGATGTCATATCAAAAAACCAGCTGTCCTGAAATTCCTGTTTTCACGACGTTGCTAGCTCCCGTACTATATGATAACCATTATTTTCAGATTTAATTTTTTAGTAAAAAAGCGGTTTTAAAAAACAGACTTCAACACAACGGTCGAAAATTATCGAAAAATATATAAATTCAAAATAAAGATTTTGATACAAAAAATTTTAATCGTAAAATAAAGATAACATTTGACCGAAAAAAAAAATCAAAATTTAGCGATTATTTTTGACCTGAAATGTAGAAAAAAAAAACAATTTTGCAAATATTTGAAAATATAAATCTTAGATTTAACGGTTATTTTCGAGCCCTGAAAAAAGTATTTGTTGAGATTGAGCCAGAGTCTTAGTTCGTAATTAGATAAGCCTAAAAATTTTCACAAAATATAACTAAACTGTTATATAATCCACATATGCAATATGCGAGTATTCTTCTAACATTTATGGAATTTCGGTTATCTCCGTTTCAGGAAAGCTCTGATCCCTTCGATAAAGCAGCTGAACTGCGTCGACGCCACGCCTTACGGAAGCAAAAAGTTTGTCGAAATCAACGCAACATCCTTGGTACACCGCCACCAGTCAACGGACGACAACATGAAGTTATTCAAACTGAGAAATATTTGGAAGAGTTGGTGCAACGTCCGCCAGAGCTCTCAGTAGATACTCAGACCGATTTGTTCCTCGAAAAACCACCAGAGCCACCTTATGTCCCGGCCAAAGTGGGCGTTGATGCCGCCACCGAAATCGGCGAAGGTGAACTTTTCCACTTTGATGCCGAGGCTCAACCGATTATCGATATACTTGTGGATGCGTGCATCGAGCAAAGCATTTTGGAAGTGGCACACGAACGGGAGATTGCAGCGCTCCGCCAGAAACAAGCCGAGTAATTTAAGCCAAATCATTGCAATTAGAACTACCTTACATATCTATATTTGTATACCTTCATTACAGATTCCTTGCTCAACGGGAAGCCGAATTGGCTGAACTACGACGCCTCGAAGCAGAGGAGTTACGCTTAAAGGCCGAAAAGGAGCGTCGCTTACAACAAGATGCCATCGCAAAGGAATTGGATGAAGAGATGCAAAAGAGCGTGACAGCCGCCAAATTATTGCAGGGTCATATTGCTGGTTTATTACCAGAAGTTTTGGACAACCTCGAACCGGCTACCGATGCTGCAAAGAAAGAGCACCTCATGAAGACCGTCGCACCGTGGTTGACTAACGAAGTTGCAGAAGAAGTGGGACATATTGTAGACTCGCGTGAGATACTCACAGCCATCATACAAGAGATCATTAAACAGCGTGCAACAGCATATGCTGATTACAAGGAAGAAATGCCGCTGGAAACCGTAATAGAGCGTGGTGAAGATACAGTGGAAGAGGAAACGAAGGATGAGGCTTGCACTTGTGAATCGAGCGATATCAGCAGTGAGCAAACGGATAAATGTGGCGACTTATCGAAGAAGATGTGATTAATAGAATTAGTTTGATTTCTATTGATTGATCAATCTTTTTACTTTTTGTACAGACCAACTTAACTTTAAAAACACTATACTTCAATTACACGTACATTTCTGCAAACAAACATTAACAAATTTTCGGGATTACATACATGATTTTTGGATGCGTATGAAATCTTTTCAGGTATCTCAAAAAGATTTCTGTACAAAGCGTAATTGAATAAATTATGCAAGCGGGTCAAAAAACATGCATACACACTTATTTACACATCGTCATCATTAGTGCGAAATCCTCTATTTGAATTTTGAATGCGATATTTTAAAGAATACTGCCTTGCAACCATCTTCACTGTTGATTTAACAATTTTTTTTCGCTATTAAATTTAACCTTTGAAATTTCACATTTTTCAATTAGATTCTTTTGTGCTGATGATGACGATTTGTATCGCAGCCAACCATCAACGGAAAAACCAAGCATTTAATGTTGTTTTGATGTTCATGATTGAAACTGTAGTCGACGATCCTTACTTTGGCGATGTAAGCAATTACATACGTATGTATTTTGCAATACGAAATGAAAATTTTTAAATTAAACAAAAACATTGTTAATTTTTTATGTTATACCATACTTATACTTATGTATGTACATATATGTCAGCCCGATATTATAAATAAAAATAATTATATAAATACATACATAAAACGATTTCTTCTGTTCAAATTTACATTCATATACATATGTAGTACCTAAATAAAAACAAGGTTAGTAATTGACTTGCAAGGTTAGGTTATGATAGATTAAGATAATTGCATGGACCACACATTACCATTAACTAAATCGTATACAGTTTCCTATAAGGATGCCTGTGATGAGTCTTAATTCCTCCTTAACAAGACTGGTAAGAAGTTGGAATCTCTTTAGAATATATCAGCTAAGTTAGAACCATACCTGAAGGTCTGTGCAAGAACGGAGTCAACAAATGAAGCACCAAGGCTGCGCAAGATACTTTCTAAAACCGATTCGGCAATAGATAGCATTAGAACGCCAGACAGCTTCCAGGCATCCATTCTAGCCCGTGTATCGGGAAATTGTATTAAAGAGACAGTGGATAAGGAGAAGACAACATGGGCTGTCAACATGTTTGACCGCTAGAAGTCCACAGGTCCGGGTGGGTTAGTGCGGGCCATGTTACAACACTCCTGAGAAAGTGTGTTACCCCATCTTATGAGAATATTTACAATATGCTTGGCGGATGCGTGCGTACCTAAAGCTTTGAGGAAGGTCGGAGTGATATTTATTCAAAAAGCAGGGAAGCTAAACCACCCCTCTCCAAATGAATTTAGGCTAATATGTCTCTCATAGTTCATGCTAAATACACTTGATAGACTTATTGACTTATTGATAAGGGAACGTACCCACATCCACACAATGGACATAGTGCAATATGCCTATCGCTAGGGCAGATCAGTCGATAGCCCTCTCCACGAAGTAGTCGGTACTAGGAGTTAACCCTTCTAAAACCGAACTGTGTTGTTCACAAGGAAAACAAAAAATCCGGAATTCCTGAACCTCACGTCCTCCTAGGATTTCAGTTTTAAGATTCCCATACAATTTACTACCCACGAAGATTGGGAAGGTGGCCTCCTGTGGGTAGATAGATAGATAGCTCTAAGATGGAAAAGGAGTCGGCTCGGGTCTGTTCTCCAAGGAACTTCAAATAAGGCAATCATACCTCCTGCCTGATGACTTCAGTGTCTTTCAGGCGGAGATATTTACCATAGAGAAGGCGACTTGTCTCATACGGGATAGTAAGTATCTGTCAGGGAACATCACTATATTCGTTGACAGCCAGGCGGCATTGCAAACATTAGGTTCCAGGGTGGCAAGGCGAAAGCAGTTCGGAGATGTCACGCAACGCTGGCTTCACTGAGTCACGTCAAAACCTCTCTACTGGGTTCCTGGACATAGCAATATAGAAGGGAACGAAATAGCCGATGAGATGACTAGACACGGCTCGGTTCATAGTCGCAGCGATTATGGATGAAGTCATCCTTGGATTAGACTTCTTGCTTGATTAAGGTATGCAGATCAACATGAAGAACAGGGCTATGACGTATAACAACATGGAAGTGCCCCTTCGGTTTGGGTATGATGGTCCATACAGCAGCAAGCGAGTGATCCTAGAGGAAAGCGAGCAGATTCCACCGAAGTCAGAAGCAGTTGTGTGGGCAAAGATTGATGGAGATTGTGGGACAAACAAATTGTGGGTTGTTGAAGCAACACAAAACTCTACACCGGACGTACTTATTGGTAAAACCTTGGCTAGGATGCAAAAGGATGGACGCATCCCAGTTGAGTGCTCAATGAGTTCAAATCACCAATCAAACTCCGAAGAGGAACTGTACTGGGGCAATGTCGAGAGGTAGAGGCAATCTTCAACTGCGAAAAGTTANTAGCACAAGGCTCCGAAGATACTGCAACATATTCGACAAGGATGGCGCCAAACCAGGCAGGACTAAC